ATATGTATATATATATATGTATATATATATTTATATATATATATATATATATGTATATATATATTTGTGTGTGTGGGGGTGTGTGTGTATGTATATGTGTATATTAAACATGTTCACTAAACAGGGAAAACACAATTAAAACTTAAAATTAACAAACAAAATGTTGGTCCTGGTGCATCATTGTAGTGATATTGTTATTTTATGTATTTCAGAGAAACCGTACTGAGGAGGATATTATCGACGCACTGCCGCCAAAGATATTAACCTTGGGGACACTGGTTATTATGAAGTTTCTTAGCCTTCGTAACACGAGCCCTTTAGGGGAGATTGAATCGCCCTGCATGTACGATGAAGTCGGAGTTACTGCACACGCTCAGTGAGTTGCTTGAATCTACATGTTCAAACAATCAAAACGCAAAACGTCAAGAAGACGAATAAAAGACGTGCATCGCATTTATTAATTCATACTTGAAAAATACGCGTCTGTGTTGAACTAACCTAATCAGTATTCAGTGGCAGATTTAAGAGGGCAGTTGAAAAAAAATAAAGAAGTTTATTCAAATTTAAATATAAGAGTGCCATTTCCGACCATCTAGTGGTGCCATAATCATACATTTTCTTACCTCAGCCCCAACCATGTTGGAGCTGAGGTGACCTAGACCCTCCATCTGGTGAACGTCCCTCCCTGGCCCTCTCTATTTTTAATTGGATCCGCCACTTATATTTTTATTTCCTACTTTGTGATTTTAAGTCAGTTCTTTAGAAAACAATTTTTTCGACAAGTAACGGACACATAAATAACACTTTCCCTACATTCTTAGTACGTCTCTGAAATGAATTGTAATGCAACACATTTAAGTGAAAATTCTGTAGATCAGTGAACCATGATATATATCTGTGTATCAATCAAACTGTTTCCATACTTTAATTGAACTAGGTCTATTCATTTCTTTATTATATACTGATTATCTTCCAAGTGACTCAACTGGTAATTCATTTTCAGCGCACATTATCTGATGATTATTAGTATCAATACATTCTGTGCTTTAACATCCTTTACTGGATGTTTTGATAAGCGTGCCGTAATTTGTATCGATAGATTACAAGACTGTCTAAACATTAAATTCATAAACAAATTTTATTATTGATAATAATTTATAAGGCCTATGTAACACATATTGCACATTAGTAAGTAGCAACAGCACTGAACATCTCGTTGTATTCTCTTCCTTTAGATTTCGTCGTGACCTCAAGAAAATCGGGCATGCGATCGAGGAGCGCAACCGACGGCGCGATATTCCTTACACAGTTCTGCTCCCATGCAACGTTCCAAACGACACCAGCATCTGAGAAGACACTAAATAAGTCAACGGTGGTGTTGGTGTGATTTTTTTGGGCAATGAGCTGACTATGGATAACTCAGTAAAAATATTAATAGAAATGTGATATCACTAAAAGATGGAACGTTTGTGAATATAAAATATAACACTTTGCCTATACTAATTAATAATCAATTATTAAAAAATATATTGCTTGTACAAAAAAAAATTTGGCTATAAGTATTCTTAACACATTTTTATCAGGAATTTTCAGTATGTAGGCCTATCTCACATAGATTGTACAGTATGAGTTTGTAATAGCATCACATGATTGCACTTTTTGTAGAAAAAGTTGATAAAATTTACGGCACAAACAATTTAAGAAAATAGAATCATAATTATTATTGAGTAAAATGTAGGGTACAAACAATTAAAGAAAACAGAATCAAATAAGTCACTTATTATGTATATAATATATATGTATATATATATATATGTATATGGGTGTGTATATGTGTATGTATATGTACATATATATATATATGTACATATATATGTATAAATATATATGTATATATATATATATGTATATGTATGTATGTATATGTATGTATGTATGTATATGTATGTATGTATGTATATGTATGTATATATATGTATGTATGTGTATGTATATATGTGTGTATGTATATGTGTATGTATATATATATATATATTTATATATATATATATATATATATAATTTTCCTGTGATTAGGCTGTTTAGCTTTATTGCATGTACGATTGTTATGTTTTGTCTGTTTTGTATTGTCATGTTGAACAATGAATGAATAAAAAAAAACTAAAAATATAATTCAAATACTGCTTGTACATAAAAGACTTATCTTGGATCCCTCAAAACGACAGTGTTAAAACATACACAAACACATGCGTTTGTTGGACAACACATGTGCTTGTTGTTAAATTCGATTGACAAGAAAGCTTGTGAACAACGTAAAAGTACAATAGTTAAACTAAAAAACGTTGACATTTTTATATAATGTAATTGATATTTATACTGGTATATACAAATATTGTTTGTGTATAGACAATTAATGTTGGTAGGACTTTATTAATAATGTTGGTAAAGATAGGTAATTGTTATAACATTGTTATGTAAATAATTGCAGCTTATGCGCGAATCTCCACTGTTTTTTTTTCGGTTTGTTCGATAAGTTATTTGGAAGTCTGAAGTTACAGACTTACTGTATGCTACGGTATCTTAGCTTTCTCTACCTACTACAGATAATAATAGTGTGGTGGTTCATTTGTTTGTTTCGCATTCACAATACTGTACTTGAATAAAAAGGTGAAAAAGATAACAGAAACAATGAGAAAAACTTACTTGAATGTGTTGATGGTCCTACTAAGCGTGAAAATCACCAGAACTACAGCGAATTCTCGATTCTTTCTGCCGACGCTGTGCCTTGACTTAAACCGAACTATGGAATGTCATTATTTATGTAGGCCTGCTTTTTTTATTCAATTTTCCATTGTTTTAAGCACGAAACCTTGAGTTTATGAATGTCTTGGTTTTGAAATTCTATCTGTTGTAGGCCTACTTACAAAGTATGGTGGTAGTAGTGATGATGAGGATGGTAATGATATGATAATGATGATGGTACAGTATTTTTAGGGCTATTGTTACCTCGAAAGAGCATCTAGCTCAGTCGGCTTAACTGGTGGTATTCAATGTGT